TTAAGATCAGGAGTTTAACTCACTCATTTCCAAACGCAAAAGTTCTTTTGCTTCAACCACTCTGTTGTAAATTTACTCGTGTGTTCAGGATTGTTGTCATATTAAGTTTCAACTTATGGACAGACACCCTGTAAAATGTGCCGGTACAATCCAGAATCAATCGTTCCCTCAAGGATGGGGGCCATCCAGGTTCTGAGGCTGCAAAGCAACCCCAAATTAGGATGCTCCCGCAGCCTGGTTAACAGTTGGAAGGAGAGCTTCTTCTGCTGGAATGAATGCACTTTGATTTTCTCCAAGCCTAACATTTCTCATTCAAGCCAAAAAGCTTTATGCTGGCTCATCCCTCATGGCTCCAACAGCTGCTGGATCATCCAGGTGCTCTTTGGCAAACATGAGATGGAAGCAATGCGCTTTCTGCAGAAGAATACCTTCCTCCTTGATGTCCTCCCATGCACACCACTCTTTGCCTTATGCTGGACTCATGGGCACTGACATTAGACAATGCAGATCTTCTGCCATAACTGTGAGATTCTTCGAGATCTCCCGGAGCATTACGTGCCTTGTTCTTGAGATGATTCCACTGGATGACCGTTGCTGGGAAGAGTAACAATGGTGTTTGATGGAGGCCGTCTTTGGCGATGGTTTGTAGCCCATTCTAGCCTCATGAGCATTGGCAACCTTTTTCTGAAGTCTGCAGAGATCTCTTTTGATTTACTTCCACAAACTTGAAGAGCGGACTCCAAGACTGGCAATCAAAGTGCGTAGGTTTTTTAATAGGGAAGTTCCCTCAAACTTACATCCAATTGTCATCTCACTGACAACTGATTCAGTTTACCCCCTTAAGAGCATCAGAGAGCCTTGGGCTTCCCAATTTTTCGCCAACGAAGACAGTGACTATTAGTCAATAAACATTATTGAATGACATAGTTCACTACCTTGCATAATAGTTGCTTAACCAACATTTATTTATTGTGTTTAGATGAAGTGAAAAATGATTATGGATAGTCCTAAATGTTTCACAAATTTTCTCTCACCATGGGTATGAGGATAGAGAATCAATTTACGGTATTTTATATATGGCGCACTTAATTTTATAGGTTATTAATTCAATTAATACACATTTATGGCCTGCCCCTGCCCCTTTTTGGAATGTGGCTTCCAGCAGGTATAGACACAAGTATGTCAGATACACATTTATTAACAAGCAGTAGGAATTGCCAGGATTGGGGTTCACAATCCTAAATGGGGATTCAAGATCAGGACACTGGGCATTGCACAAAAATTTGTAAGCGTATGTGTCTACACACACACATTTTTCCTTTGAGCTGTCTTCCTTCTAGGTAAACATGGTATTGCAAGAACATAACAGGACCAAATTCATTTTTATTCACTGAATCAAGGGCTCAAGACCTCTTTGTATCTCCACCAACATGATCTACATTTGCCACCATTGGTCAGCGGTGGCCCACTGCATTCTAGACAGAAGAAAAAGGCCAGAGGTAGGTAGTTGGTGGGCCTGAAGAACAACCAAATTCAAGCAGCCTCAGGCAGTTTGGGCAATGGGGAGGGGTGACAGGAGTTGTAATTCCGCAATATCTGAAACTGAGTTATACTTTATCAAGAGGTTTAAGATAGGTAGACTTCAACTCTCAGAATTCCCCAGCCAGCCATGCTGGCTGGGGAATTCTGAGAGTTGAAGTTCACATACTGTATGTTAAAGTTGCAAAGGTTCAGAAACACTGGCCTACATCATACCTAGCAACTGTTCTGCAAATGGAAATCATCAACAGAAAATTATTACTTTCAAGACCTTCTATAATTTACTTGTCTTTAATCTCCTCATTTATAACCCATCCACAAATTATTAATCAAAGAGTGTATATTACATACAGTATTTCATACGCTTCTCTTCCAGAAAAAACAAACAATGAAGTCCATAAAAATGCATACCATTATGAACACCTTAGTCTTCAAAGGGTAGTAAGACTACATGACCAACATCTATGATCTAGTCATGCTGACCGGTAAGGGAATTCAGGAGCACTACAGGGCCACAGCACTAGCCATTTTTGCCCTAAATGGTCCAAGCCCAGGCTATCTGAAGGATCCACAAACCCAAAAAGCAACGTTTGGCTTTCAAAATGTTTCAGCGGCCATTCTCACCCACCCTTCTCCACTACCTGCAGCTTCTGAGTTGCCTTCAAAAGCAGATCCAGGTAAAGCACACTGCAGCAACTTAACTTGAAGTTGATGAGGTTGTAAGTTACCATGCCCAATTCTCCTTGAGTCAGTTTATCTGACATATACTGCTTTGAGTTCCTTGGAGGTGAAATTTATTCAGTAGTAAATATACTGCAAGTTAACATCCTAGACTTTGTATTTTGGAAGCTAAGGAGGACAAGAGTCAATGGAATCGTGGTCTTATGGCTCATCGCTGGAAGCTTGGCCCTCGTATTCAAAGCTTCTGTTCTTCAAGCTATCTTCACCCTCTATGAGGACTAGAGCGTACAAATATAGGCAGCCCTGTTGGCTTGATGTATCCCAAGTTCTGAAAGACCCTTCTCACCCCAAAATTTAACGACTGCTCGGGCAAAATGTAGGCATATAGATCAAATTCCTATGGGAGACAGAATCTAGGCACAATAGTTGTCTTAGGCCAAGACACCAGACCAAAGAGTGAGGGACTCAAACTTCAAACATTACAGCATTAGGGGAACACAGCTTTTGAAGATGAAGACATCCATGAAATCTCACCAGATTTTTGTTGGTGGACAGGAACATGCTCTGTATTGCTATGGGCTCGTGGTGTCACATAGCGAATGGAAGTCTCTTCAAGATACTTATCTACAAGATCTGGACACACTGAAGAGGAAGAAAGGAAGATGTGTGAAAGAAGAGTGGTCAACAACAACAAAATAATATGAAATACATTTGGAGGCCTTTAAAAAACACAATGCATAAAGCTTTAACACGATGTTGTCTTGAAAACAGCATCATGAGGTTTCTCCCAAAGAAGAGAAAGAGAAGCTAGTTTTAAATTCAATTTTTTAAAAAAATCAGATCTGAGGATGCAAGCAGGCACCCCCAGCTCCTTGTCTGAAGACAGCAGGCTTCTGAAAAAGTTCCAGCTGCCAGAGCCACTGTTGTTCCTTGTCATTTTATCAAAGCTTTAAACTGCAAAAATGGAGCAAATAGACAGCAGGACATCTGAGAAAGCACTTCTAGCAATACAGATAAACAAGGGATGGAGCAATAGCACAAACTTCACATTTTATTTTTATAAGTTTTTTAGAAGCAGCCGGCTGGCTTACAACTGACAGATCAGATTCCAAATATTCCAAAAATGTCACTGTAGAAGTTGCATGACACCTTTTCTATTGCTATGCGGTCATTTGTTTGTAGTGCCCTCCAGCCCTGTCCCAGGCAGGGGCCAGCTTGGCAACCTTGCAATGCCCTGGCCCAACAGGAACAGAAATCTTCATCAATGGTTTAATGATTAGGGGAAACCCAGTTCAAAGCTGTAATGCTCACTGGTGCCCTTTAGGATTAGCCTATCTAACAAGATTACTGCGAGGATTAAATCTGAAAGAGACTATTCATTCTTCCTATACATTCAATAGTGAATGTGAGGAAAGAGCAATAAAATTAAACAACAAAAGCGGTCTACCTCTAACTATTTAAGGCTGGGGAGCAACATCCCCACTTCTAGGCCTTGTTTTGGACAGCAACATGTAATCTCCATTTTCAGAGGCAATTTAGGCATTATACATTCTGGGGAAAAACATCTCCAGAGGAAAGGAAGCGTCTTCCTTCGCTTGGAACCTTCCCAGGATCAGACTGAGCACCACTGGAAAATGTATACAGGGCGACCTGTATGTTTTAAACTCCATACACATCCACAAGTTAACAGAGAAGCTCTATGCACAGCCTTTTACTTAAAAAGCCAAGTCAGAGGTGACCTACCAGCCTTTCTCCTCTTCAAAGTGACATAGGGCAACAAATCATGGCGGGTGATAATCCTCAACAGCTGTAGCACCTGGCGGAAGTTGGTCTCATCACAGCGGCCCTGTCTCTCTAGTGCCAGGAGGAAGTCCCGCCCACTTCGGATCATGCCCCTTTCATAATCGTCGATGACATCCACGAAGAGAAAAGACAGCACTCGGACATCGCGGTGGGTCAGGTGGGTACCCACAATGTCAAACATGCGATGCAAGCTATAGAGGCCATGTTCCCGGTCTCCCTCCTCCTCTGGCCAAGCCTGCTGGTGACTCCGTTTCAAGGTTGCCATCTTGCGTGACTGTGAGAACCGGCCTCGGCCACCCAGCGTCCACGGGAACTGAGGGGGCAGGGTGTCTCCTTCACCTGGGGCACTGAAAGAGAAGCAAGTTCTGTTCAGAACCCTGTGCCCTGAGAGGAGGGGAGCCCTTTATGCTGCAATTTATGCTGAACAGGTCTGTTAGAAGAGACAACTCTCTGCCCTTAACGGTTTTGCCTAGGCCAGCTACAAAGGTCTCCGAACAAGTTGCCACCCTATACAGGGGCAGCAAATTCTATAACCCGATTAGGCATATTATTGGACCAAGTGATTCCTTTACTTTTGCTCTGAACCTGTAACCCAGTTCCCTACCCATAAGCTAAGAGACAATGGCTGCCTCTGCCGAAAAACAAGCAGGGTAGCTGAGCGGAGCAATAGCCAATATTTGGGATCTGCATTTTTGAATGAAATCTTCAATTACACGGGTATTGCTGCAGGAGCCTGTCCTCAACTACTTCACACTGCACAGGCACTAAGGGATCCCTGCAGGGAGCCTCTACAGCTGGCAGAAATCCATGTAAGCTGACCAAAGCTGCACATACCCAGTTTGAGGCCGCATACAGTTCATCTGTTCCCTTGGTTCAAAATTGCTGTAAGAGACTTGCTTGGACCAGAACTTAACAGAGCTTTCACAGGGCAAAGATTCTGTTCAGGTGGAACGCAAAACACCCCTTTTATTTTTTCTGAAGGGTAATTCAGCTTGGTGCCAGATAAGGAAACACAAATTGGGTTCACGTATGGTACTACAACATAAATGCAGTTGGCCTGCTGGGTTTGGCTTGTGGCATAATCCAAGCAGCTGGGGCTTGTGAACTGAGATTTATCATTTAAGCACAGCATGTAGTGGGAACCCAGCCAGTTGTGGCTTTTTCAACAAACGACAGCTAAGCAAACCAGCTTGGTACAATGTGTGTTTCAGCGACACACTATCTTCCATGTAATGATGAAGATACATGCTTGCTTCATTTATGGGGAAAGTTTTCTTGCACCTCACTCACTGAAATAAAGGGAAACCATGTTCCATTCACTAATGGCTTTCATGAGACATCCTTCTGACTTAATCTGTATTTTCCACTCCATGTCAAGTCATGTCACAGTTGACCCTTGTCTCATCTCAGTGCAGGGGTGCTACTAAACAATCCTTTGTCACTACAGTGGATGAAACGCCTCTGTCAGTATCCTGCCTCCCATTTTTAGGGAAGTACATGCTAGGAAGAAGAGACTGTGCATTAATAGCTAAGTTACCTGCAAAACCACAATTTGTATTTCCAAATACAAGTGCTCTTGGCCTTCTAACACGGATGTATTCTTCCATCGCGCTAGGGCCTGGAAAGAGCAGGCCCCGGCAGGAGAGGGAAAAAGGAGAATGACAGCCTTACGCTTCCTGGGTCTTCCATACCTCCAACATGAATGAAAGGAGTCTTTGCTTCTGCCCATCACTGAGTCCTCTACCTGTGCTGGGACCAAGGAAGGGGAAGAATAGCTGGATAGCCCAAAATCTGACCATTTGGTGCCTTCTTGATGTGTGGGCCAAGGCACCAATCTTGCCAGCATCTTTGAACTCCTCCACCTACAATTGCTAAAACGTTTTCTCTGCCCTGTGGCTCATTCAGACAGGGTGGTGTGGCACGTTTATTCCCTTTCCTACCTCAGCCCTAAGAACCCAAGCAGCGAGCAAGGGTTCTGATGGGATCCATGGCACAAACTCTGGGACTCTAGACCACATATTGGCAGTGCCCAGCCTTTATTGTCAGAACCCTGTCGTACTTCACTTTCAGTGCAACTTTCCTGTTCTGACACTGATTCCGGGTTTTCATTTATTTATTTTTTAACAATCTAACTTCTAGACTG